GCGACAGAGCGAGACTCATCTCAAAAAAAAAAAAAAAAAAAAAAAAAAAAGAAAAAAAAACCCACCAAGTACAGTGAATTATGGGATACAATTCATTGACAAGCTATTAGCAACAAGGTCATGTCATTAGAGATAATTCGAACTAATAATCCCATTGCTAATCTTTGCTTGAGTCTATGTAAAGAATTCTCAGTGGGATGAAAAGCATAAGTCACAGACATCTTCTCCTAACAGCTATGCTTTTCTGAGTATTTGTTATTTACCAAGCATTATTTCAAAAGCTTTACCTGCAAGGTGTTATTAAACCTCACAGCTATTTTATGAAGATATGTATTATTACCAGTCCTGTTTTACAGACAAGGGAACAGATTCAGGGAGGTTCAATAACTTGTTAAACTCCACAGCTAGAAGTTTCCTGCTATCTTCATCCTTTCCCTTAAGAAAAGCTATAAATGACCACACCGTAAAGATGAGCTAGATGTTAGGAAATAGAAGCAACTATACAATCTCAAGACAAAACAGCTTTCTTGCATGAGACAATTAATTAATTTAAATAGTGTTTAATAGTTGGTTTGTCAGGGTCCAGTTTCTTAGCAGAATTCATCTTTGTGTTTCCAGAACTACAGGAATTGAACTGAGGTGGTGAGGTCAGGTTAGGAGGAAGTGGTGAATTTTTTTGAGACAGAGTCTCGCTCTGTTGCCCAGACTGGAGTGCAATGGCACAATCTTGGCTCGCTGCAACCTCCATCTCCTGGGTTCAAGCGATTCTCCTGCCTCAGCCTTCCTCCTGAGAGGAAGTAGCTGGGATTACAGGCACATGCCACCACATCTGACTAAGTTTTGTGCACGCCCGGCTAAGTTTTGTATGTTTTAGTAAAGACAGAGTTTCACCATGCTGGCCAGGCTGGTCTCGAACTCCTGACCTCAAGTGATCCGCTCTCCTTAGCCTCCCAAAGTGCTGGGATTACAAGCGTGAGCCACCGTACTTGGCCAGGAAGTGGGGAGTTATTAAGGAGGTGGAATTGAGGTGAACTACCCAATTTCAAAATCCTTGTCAGCACAGCCTGGCTGAACCGAAGATTTTTCTTACCATCTAGATGGTGGTTTAGACTTTCCCTGCATCTTAACGATGGCTTTTTTTTTTTTTTTTGAGACGGAGTTTCACTCTTGTTGCCCAGGTTGGAGTGCAACGGCATGATCTCGGCTCACAGCAACCTCTGCCTCCAGGGTTCAAGCGATTCTCCTGTCTCAGCCTTCCGAGTAGCTGGGATTACAGGCATGCACCACCACACCTGGCGAATTTTGTATTTTTAGTAGAGATGGGGTTTCTCCATGTTGGTCAGGCTAGTCTCAAACTCCCAACTTCAGGTGATCCTCCTGCCTCAGCCTCCAAAAGTGCTGGGATTACAGGTGTGAGCCACTGCTCCCGGCCTGGATGGCCATTTAAAGCAACTTATTTTGACATACCATACTTGCAAGAATAATACAAAGTATTCCTGTATACCTTTTACCCAGATTCTGTGTCTGTTGACATTTTACTACATCTGCTTTTTCCTTCTCTCTCTAAATAAACATATTTATTTTATTTTCTTTTTCATGTAGACATAATGATGCTCTTTTTTCTCTTCAGGGTATATTTCCCCTAAAACAAAGATATCCTCTTCCGTAACCACAATACAATGAACAAAATCATGAAATTATCAATGATATGGTTTAGCTCTGTGTCCCACCCAAATCGCATGTCAAATTGTAGTCCCCAGTGTTGGAGGAGGGGCCTGATAGGAGGTAATTGGATCATGGAGGCAGATGGATCATGGCGGCAGATTTCCCCCTTGCTGTTCTAGCGATAGTGAGTGAGTTCTCACGAGACCTGGTTGTTTAGTTCTCACGAGATCTGGTTGTTTAAAACTGTGTGGCACTTCCTCCTTGTTCACTCCTACTCATGTAAGATGCGCCTGTTCCCCGTCACCTTCAGCCACTGAAGCATCCTGGGGCCTCTCCAGCCATGGTACCTGTACAACCTGCAGAACCATGAGTCAGTTAAACCTGTTTTCTTTATAAATTGCCTAGTCTCAGGTATTTCTTTATAGCAGTTTAAGAACAGACCAATGCAATGATTGATAAAAATACTATTAACTCATCTACAGATCTTACTCGTATTTCACCAATTGTCCCGGTCGTATCAGCAAAAGAAAATCCTAGCTCACACATTGCTCTCAGCTGTCACATCTCTTTGGTGTCTTTTAATCCGGAAGAATTTCTTTCTTTCTTTTTTTTTTTTTGAGATGGAAGTCTCGCTCTTTCGCCCAGGCCGGACTGCAGTGGTACTATCTCGGCTCACGGCAAGCTCCGCCTCCCAGGTTCACGCCATTCTTCTGCCTCAGGCTCCCGAGTAGCTGGGACTACAGGCGCCCGCCACCGCGCCCGGCTAATTTTTTATATTTTTAGTAGAGACGGTGTTTCACCGTGTTAGCCAGGATGGTCTCGATCTCCTGACCTCGTGATCCGCCCGTCTCGGCCTCCCAAAGTGCTGGGATTACAGGCGTGAGCCACCGTGCGCGGCCTAATCCGGAAGAATTTCTCAGCCTTCTTTGTCTTTCAGGACACAGATATATACATATATATATATATAAATTTTTTTTTTTTTTTGGTTGAGACTGAGTCTCGCTCTTATTACCCAGGCTGGAGTGCAATGACGCAACAATCTTGGCTCACTGAAATCTCCACCTCCTAGGTTCAAGCAATTTTCCTGCCTTAGCCTCCCGAGTAGTTGGGATTACAGGCGCCCACCACCAAGCCCAGTTAATTTTTTGTATTTTTAGTAGAGATGGGGTTTCACCATGTTGGCCAGGCTGGTCTCGAACTCCTGACTTCAAATGATCCACCCACCTTGGCCTCCCAAAGTGCTGGGATTACAAGCGTGAGCCACTGTGTCTGGCCTGACACAGATATTTCTTGAAAAAGTACAGATCAGTCAGTTACTTTTGTCATGTTTTTCAGTTTGAGCTCTACTGATGTCCTGATTAGATTCAGGTTATGCACTGCTGGCAAGAATATCATGGAGGTCATGTTGTGCTCTTTCCAGTGCATTGTACCAGGAGGTGCACAACATGTCCCATCACTGGTGATGTTGACCTTGGCCTTTTGGTTACGCTCGTGTCTGCCATATTTCTCCACTGTGAAGTCACTCTGAAGTCACTATCCATCCCCCCTTATTTTTACATTAATGAATTGTTTAAAATTTTTGGTAAAATATGCATGATATAAAATCAACCATTTTCACTGTTTTTAAGTGTCCAGTTCTGTGGCATTAAGTACAATCACATTGTTGAACAGCCATCACCACCATCCAGCTGTAAAACTTTTCCAAGTCTGTACTCTTTAAGTACAGACTTAAAGGTGGCCGTTTGCAATATTATGCTGAAATCTTCCTCTCTACACCTTTCCTACAACTGGTTCTTGTTATTGCCACTAGTTAACCAAGGACGACTCTTGTCTTGGGTTGACATGAAGGTGAGTTGAAGGTGACAATCATGACCTACCTCCTGCTCTACTCTTCTCTGCTCCAAGCTATGCAACCCCAGCTACTCTAAGGAAAGAACATGAGGACTTGGGCAGGTTCCCTTTGGTAAAAAGATAATAAATTTTCAGAAACCTGTCTATAGCCAACAGGACGAAGAGACATTGAATTTTTTCATAAAGCCAGATTTGGCCAAAATGGTTTTGTTTAAATCCCAAACCTTCTTTTTCTTCCACAACCTCTGTGCTATGTATGTTATTTTCGGAGGTGTGTGCTTCACTGTAAACCAGCCACCATTCTACTTTCTGTCTCTAACATTTTGACTACTCTAAGCAGAATTTTGTCTTTTTGTGACTGACATTTCACTTAGCATAATGTCTTCAAGTTTCCTCCAGATAGCATATGTCAGAATTTTCTTGCTTAAGCCTGAAGAATATTTCATTGTATGCCAGTATCACACTTTGCTTATTCATCAGTTTATGGACACTTGGGTTGCCCCTGCCTTTTGGCTATTTGGTGAATAATGCTGTTATGAACATGTGTACAAGTATTGAGTCCCTGCTTTCACTTCTTTTGGGTATGCGCCCAGAAGTGGAACCTCTGGATCATTATTTTCCTCTTCCTAATTAATAAGCATCTTGGGGGACAATACTTTGAGATTACCTGAAAAACCTGTTATTTTTCTGACACTTTCACCCACTAGTGTTAGCATCCATCGATTTCTATCTGAATCAATTATTCTAATGGTTGTCAAATGGCAATTTTCTAATTCCGTCACTCTTTCTGCGTTGATGAGTTGGCATTCTACTAGAAAGAAGAAACTTCCCTTCTCCCCCCTTTATTTATGAATATGGGCTCATTTTATTGAATGGGCTACGCTCCTTTCCTTTTTACACTATTGCTCTGAGCAATTCTTTTCCCTATGATTCCCCAGAATGCAAGTTTGGGGAAATGCGGGAACTTTCTGTATTTCTTTGTTACCATTAAACAAACTGAGAGTGCAACCTGACTTCCCCAAGTTGAGAAAAATCATCTTCCTGCCCACGCATTAGTTTAGCTCAAGGGGAAACCCTTTTTCGAAAGTGCTTTTGGCCGGGCGCGGTGGCTCAAGCCTGTAATCCCAGCACTTTGGGAGGCCGAGACGGGCGGATCACGAGGTCAGGAGATCGAGACCATCCTGGCTAACACGGTGAAACCCTGTCTCTACTAAAAAATACAAAAAACTAGCCGGGCAAGGTGGTGGGCGCCTGTAGTCCCAGCTACTCGGGAGGCTGAGGCAGGAGAATGGCGTAAACCCGGGAGGCGGAGCTTGCAGTGAGTTGAGATCCGGCCACTGCACTCCAGCCTGGGCGACAGAGTAAGACTCCGTCTCAAAAAAAAAAAAAAAAAAAAAGAAAGTGCTTTCTGGGCAGCCCCGCGCGAACTGCATTTCCCAGAGGTCTTCGGAGTTACGTCATCAGCGAGCGCGGCTTTTTGCTGGCGAAGCCGGCTTTGGAGAGCTGCTGTGGCGGCGGCAACATGGCGGACGTGATAAATGTCAGTGTGAACCTGGAGGCCTTTTCCCAGGCCATTAGTGCCATCCAGGCGCTGCGCTCCAGCGTGAGCAGGGTGTTCGACTGCCTGAAGGATGGGATGCGGAACAAGGAGACGCTGGAGGGCCGGGAGAAGGCCTTCATTGCGCACTTCCAGGACAACTTACATTCGGTCAACCGGGACCTCAAGTAGGTACCGGCTGAAGGGGCCGGGGTCGGGGACCGGCCCCGCTCCGACCCTGCGCCTACGTCGCTCGAGTCTTCCCAGGCAGGGGCTGTTCTCCATTTCCTTTGATTCCCGTTCTTTCTCTTCGTGCTCTCCAAGCCTCTGCCTACCTCCCAGGGACACCTTATCACCATGCCTGCTTTCTCGTCTCGCTTCTCCTGGCCTCCTGGTCCTGTTTGTCTCCCGCCATCCTCGACCTCTTCTGTGGCGGTTCCATTCCTGACAAGGAGGCATGCTCTTCCTATGAAGTTCCGCTTCTCTGAGGTTGGCAGGTTTCTCACCTGTAGGCCCTCTGTGCCCCATCACGTCTGATCCGAATGTAGTGATAGTACAGACAGGACCTGATCAGTCCGCTCCAAACCCAAGTGCACCCAATCTGATTAGCCCCAATTCCCTGGCCCTGAACTTGGACTTCATCAGTTCCACCACCACCCACCGGCAACCACGACGAAACAGGCCAGGCCTTGAGCTATCTTCTCCCTTTCCCCTACCCTCTCCCAAACCACCTGATCAGTTGCCTCACTCCCACTCTCACTGCTCCTGTTCAGTTCCTTCCGCAGTAGAGACCTAATTTTCAAGCTCCTAACCAGTTTACTTACTTATGCTTAACGCCCCTGCTTCTTAATTTGTAGTCTTTTAGGGTTAAGGATTCCACTTTTCCTAGGCTTCCTTACAAAGCACCTTCTTCACTTATACTTTACAAGTGGTGTAAGAATTAAATGAGAGGATGTTTGTAAAGGGCCTGGCACATAGTCGGCACTTCTTGATTGCTTAGGTCCTGAACTTGCCTTCTCTTTTATAAGAGAGTCAGCCCTTCCCAGGAAGGTTAGAATTTCAGGATTTTTGCCTTTTACTTCTCAGAACTGACCTGAGTAGGGGAAAGCATTTGGTGAGCTAGTCATCCTTTGATTTCTGGACTGGTTGAATTTTTGTTTTTTCAACTTGGTCTCCTTAGTAACCAGATGGAAAGAAGAGGTAGGATGGAGGAGGAGGTGGAGGAGGTGGCCAAATGATGGGTGCCTTTTTGTTTTCCCCCTAAGTAGTTGCCATAAATCACACACCCCTTCTCAACGCCCACATCCGCTTGCTATTCTCTGGCACAGCGCCGAGCACCAGTTAATACTTTCCCTGCTTCAGGGGATGCACTGGCTCTTCTTCCCTATCTTCTATTTTCTTTCCGTTTTCTCTCCGAGTTACTTTCCTTTGTAATGTTCAGGATATTATAACCCATCACCATTTTAAATAGAAACTTTAAGAGTGCTGACATTATCCCTGTGCCGTCTTAAATCTTTGTACAGTAGTGCCAAGAAGAAGGTGGCTGATGATTCCAAAATGAATGTGGCATAAGAAGCTGTTCCTAGAGAGTCTTTTGTTGGCAGTTTGGGACTGGCCCCTCAGAACGTACTCCTGGAATGTGCTCTTGTTGGCTCGCTTTCCCAAGCTTCTCGAGGGTTTTCCTGCTAGACTGAAGTGTGTTTGACACAGCCCCTTCCGTGGTGTCTTCCCATTCCATTTGTTTATTTTATCTCTTCTTTGTTTTGTTAAGTTTTGCCATCTGTGAAGCATCACGTACAAATCTATCCCTAAGTGAATGAGAAATAATCATTTATTCAGGTACTTGCTGTTCTGCCAAGTGTAATGATCTGCACGTGGGTCTGAAAACTCTTAGTGAGAGGCCGTGTTATGCCACATTTCAAAATTCCAGAAAGTCTCGTCCCCACTGCAGAGATGAATTTGAGTTGTTCAGTTCTGATTGTGGGAGTCTTATTGATTCTAGTGCCCATACGTTTTTTTCCTCCTTTGGAATGGCACCAGGAAGCTCTGTTTTAAAGTCAGATAAGCTCTCATTTAGGGTTTTGTTTGTTTGTTTGTTTTTGTTTTTTTTAAGTGTCCCAAATATTTTTTAACCTTTCAAAAAGTGTTTCTTCTTAAGGGACTTCTGATGGATGGTTTGAAGAGCAGTCTTTGATCCTGGGGGTTGGCTTTACCTTGGAGTGTAAGTGGGCTTAGGTTTATTTGCCTTATCTCTTTGCTTTTCAGTGAGCTGGAACGTCTGAGCAATCTGGTAGGCAAGCCATCTGAGAACCATCCTCTTCATAACAGTGGGCTGTTAAGCCTGGATCCTGTGCAGGACAAAACTCCTCTCTATAGTCAACTCCTTCAAGCATATAAATGGTCAAACAAGGTAAGGGAGATGTAATAAATGGAGCTAATAGATGGGAAGCCAAGTTTTCTTATATTCCATAAATGCAGAAAGCAAGAGTAAGTTTGGATTGCTTGCTATGTTCTTGATTCAGCATGGGGTTATAGAGTTGGAAGTTGTAGAATTTTTCTGTAATCTGTTTTGTAGTCCTTTGAAGTCTTTGGGGATTCATGATGCTCAGGTGATTACATATTAAAAATTCTAACTCAGGTGTATTTAACCTGGAGACCGGGTATAGGGAGCAACTCTTATGAACCCCTTAAAATTATATGCAGCATGTTGTGGTATGTGCATGTGTGTCTGGGGAAGGCTTCGTAGCTTTCATCAGGTTCACAGAGGAATCTGTGGCCCCCAGGAGGTGTCTAAATGTTTAGCTGCAAACATTATGTTCTTGTATTGTCTTTTCCTCTGTCACAGATGGATGAGCATCACTACAATACCGTTTGTTAGATGACTCTCTAATTACTTAGATGCCACCTAAGGGAGATTTTTCTTAACATGCTCTGTAGAGTTTGATATTCATGATTTCTTTCAGCAGGCAGGCCTGTGGCAGAGACCCTAGGACAGCTGTAAGTGGAAAACTAAACTGTAGTTGAAAAATAACAGAAACAGTTAGGCTCATGAATCTGGAAACAGTTCGTTTGTTTACGAACAAGTTCCTTTTGTTTGGGTGCTATGTGTTGTGGCGTGCATGTGTGTACGGGCTTTTTATGTTGATAGGGAACTAGAATATACATATACTTTAGGAATGATTTTGGAAGCTTTTTTATTATACTGTGCTGCCTCTTTGAATAATTGTTGTTAGAATTGTTAGTTGTTTAACTGTATGCAGGGTGGTGCCCCCTCCAGTAATCCATTGGCATTTTCTTCTTTTCGGTGGTTTTTTTCCCCTTAGGTCTTAGATAAGAGATAAACCTTGAGAGTTTTCCTGGTGTGCAGAATTTTTTCTTTGAATTTCTCTTTGAGGGTGTTTTAGTATTCTTTGGTTTGAAGGGGAACCCTGGGAGCTTCATTTGTGATTTAGGAAGGTGATTTATCATGGGTTACTAAAGAAAGAACTTGAACCTTGAATGCATACATGTAGCCTAGAAGGCCTTTCCCCAAAACTCTGGGCTGCCAGTGACAGAAACCCAACTGGGTCTAGATTTAGCCAAAAAAAAAAAAAAAAAGGGCATGGGGGGCCTTCAGTGGTTCTAGGAACTAAAATGTTCAGGGAGTTACTTGTCTGTGACTGAGCTCAGGAGCATCAGGGTGCTTGGGTGGTGTGGCAGGAACGTCACTCTCCTGCCCTATCTAGGACTGCTTTCCTTTCTTGGCCTGATGCTCTCCAAGGGGTAAAAAACATGGCTCAGCAGTTGTGGGTATACATAGTTCTCATACCTGGTGACCTCCCAGTGTCCATGTCAGGCTCTGAAAAAGGATTCTGGCCCAAACTTGATAGCCCTGGCCCTCTGAGATGGTTCATTGCATCCATGGGTGGGATCCTCAGCTCAGAGCACCTGAAACACAGGAAATGGGGCTCCTTGGAGTTGGGACAGAGGGAGTTCCCAGAAGGGATGGATGCAGGGCAGATAAAGAAATCACAGATGTCTGTTGCAGTTTTTTTAGGCCAGACGTGGGACTGTTCCAGCTCTACACAGATAGGTGTTTGGAAAAGGAAGCCATGTTGATGTATCCTGTGGGTCAAGTTCTCGAAATAGGGTACAGTGACAAGGACTGTTCAGTGGTGGGAAGATTCAGGCTGATCTCAAAACCATGAGTGAGTGGGACACTTCATGGAAATGACTAGTCTTACGTTGAAGTGATGACACTGAATTTTTGAATGAAGGTAGTTTAATCACTGAATTGTTCCGCTATTAGAAGTTCCTACTTCGGCTGGGCGCGGTGACTCACGCCTGTAATCCCAGCACTTTGGGAGGCCAAGACGGGCAGATCATCAGGTCAGGAGATCGAGACCACGGTGAAACCCTGTCTCTACTAAAAATATAAAAAAAATTAGCCAGACGTGGTGGCGGGCACCTGTAGTCCCAGCTACTCAGGAGGCTGAGGCAGGAGAATGGCGTGAACCGGGAGGCGGAGCTTGCAGTGAGCCAAGATCACACCACTGCACTCCATCCTGGGCGACAGAGCGAGACTCCGTCTCAGAAAAAAAAAAAAAAAAAAAGAAGTTCCTATGTCAACCCCTACCCTTGCCCCACAGTGGAAAATAGGTTGTATTAAGGAAAAGAAATGTTATGTATTATGTATGTGGAACTTCTTGTGCTGGAAATGCTACAGGTTAAAAATATCTGTATGCATTTATCCCAGATTATAAATCTCCTATGAGCAATGTGAGGGGGTGTTGAGGCTGCAGACATGTCCCCGGCCTGCTGAGGTTCGGCTCCTGTAAAGGAACTATGTTCTTTCACCAGCACGAGAGAACAGTTAAGAGACTCAGCCCCTTATTTTAGAGGTGAGCAAACTGAGGCCCAGTGAACTGACCTGTTTACAGCTCCCCAAGCTAGACCAGAATTTGGGTTTCCTGACCTAGTTCAATGTTCTTTCCTCAAAAGTTGAGGTTTTAGTCCGGTTTTGCTTAAGGTTTTCAACTGTAGAAAACATTTTTTTCCCCGTTTACTTGCATCCTGGAAACAATTCACATTATATTTTATTCGTGAATCTGTATGTATTTTTCTAATTTTTAGTGATTTATCAAAGGGTGGAGATGGCAAATACATGGTACCTGGATTCTTAACCTATTGCTCTTTCTAGGGCAGACATCACTAATCAACCATTGCATTCTTTCCTGCTGAGGCTGTGTGTATATTGGCTTAGAATCCTTGCAACTCTCAGTTCTGGCACTAGGCAGTGACTGCCAATTATTCAGAAGAGGGTGGCAAGGAACACATGTTTTTTATTTCTGTTATAGCATATGACGTCCTGTGCGACTATTACTTATTTATACCTTACCTTTTTCTACAAGGGATTTAAAATAGATTATAAGAATACACAAAACCCTGAAAGAAAAGAGGGAAAACAAGGATGAGGATGCCTATATACATTTCTTTAATAAACACAAGAAGTAGCCTCAAGAAATAAGCCAGTACTCTAATTTCCAGCTGGGGACATGGAAGAGCAAACAATTAATTATATATGTTTATCTTGCCTTTCCTACAAATGAAAAGAGCTTTTTAATTGCTAAAGCTTTCATCGTTCATCATTTTACCCTCAAAGAGTTTAAACCAGTAAGTGCGTTAATATGTTAAGTGAAGTTTGGGGTAACTTGCCAATGTCAGCTGTATGCACTATTGGCTAAGAATTGAAGGACATATGAGAAAGGCTTTGATACCCACCCATTATGAGATGAACTTTCTGTTTTATGTGCTGTTGGCTATAGAAAAGTCTCGTTCATGCCTAATGACTAATTATTTTCTTTAGGGGATTTTGTAATTTTTGTAAAGTCAGTTGGAATATTAATTACCTGGTACTTGGCATAATTGTTAGAATAACACGTTTAAAAATTAATCTCATCTAATGGAATGATGTCAAATTGCTGTGAGCAGCACTTTTCCCATACCGAATTGGGGGAAGAATTTAGCTTTTCACTATTATGCACCTATAGATAATTGTTCTGAGAAGGATGACAAGCTCTCTTGACTAGGGCAAAAAATAATTGGCATCAACGCTGTCCTTGCTATAAAATAGTGAATGTAGACTTGATAGTGCTTATTATGTTCAGAGATGCTGAGAGTTAACCTGAACTTATTCTGAAGGTCCCCTTTTGAAGGTTTCTGGCATCCTGTCACCAGGCTTTTATTTCTGGCTTTTATTTTTTTTTCATTTGTTTATGGCAGAAGGCTACTTGTATATTTGCCTGGAAAAGCAGACTAAGACGTCCGCCTTTCCCTGGCGACATCTGAAGCTGCAAAGACCCCAGAAGTGTCACTTTTTACTGGGCTTGGGAAATGGGCCCAGGGCGAGGTGCTGCTGCTACCTTTTTTTTTTTTTTTTTTTAAATGTTTGATTTTTTATTATAGAAAGAGCAACTTTCTATTCCAAGAATATTCCATTGGAAAGTCTGAAGACGTTTCCTCCATCCTGCCCTCCTGAACCGTTCTTATCAGAATCCAGTTGCTTAATGACTAAGTTACTGCAAAGTTCACTTCTTACATCTATCTCTGAAGGTGTTCTTTTCTGTTTTTGCATCACGGAACTAACAGGGTTGGAATCGTTTTACGTTGCAATGCAGAGCCTTTCCTTTACAGACTCCGTCCTCTTTTAAGGGTAAACTCTAAGGCCCAGGGGAGAGAAAACATGTCCATCTTGTTCCTTGCTGGGAGTCCCCAGCACCTAGCAAGATGCCTGGTACACTGTAATCATTCAGTGAAGACTAGCTCAGTGAATGAAAGAATAAATGAATCGAAGCATTTTCTGTTGAATTTTTAATTTACAACCCTTTTGTGGTTTGCTTGCTTGTATTTTTGATGAAGTACAATGAGGGCATTTCCATTTTCAGCCATTACTGAGAAAGCCAGTTGTGGTGCTTGCAGATGGGAGGAAATTTGGAGATCTTATGATGGAGGCCAGGGCTGGGGGTCATTTGGAAGGCCAGGGTGAGGTCATTGGGTGAACCAATGATAAGCTCTTTGAAGGCTGATTGTAGCATTTTTATCCATATCATCTGTCACCTGGTGTGCCCTTCTAATGGGACTTGGTGGAAGTTTTTTGGAGTTGCCTGAGTCAGGCTAATTTGAGCTGCTGCACCTGATGTCAGGTGTTCTGTGGCAGCTGTCATTTTGGCAGCAATGTGGAAACTGTCTAGGAAGAGGAAAGTCAGCTCCACCAGCCTCTTAGGGTTATCCTACTTTGTGAGTTACCTATAACCAATTTCTGCTCGTGTTTTCCTTCCCACCAGGCCCACCCTGGCTCATTCTTCTCTCCATATAGCTGCTACATGTTCAGGGAATACAGATTCATTCAGAATATAATAGGAAAGAAAATGA